CATCAGTCGTAGGAGAGTTGCAGTCAATGTGGGCTTCCAGCCAGGGATCTGCAAATCGATACTGTGTGAGGATGGATCAAGACCCCTTCGTTCGTAACTGCCCTATTGCCCCAGTAGACATGGAAGTTGAGACAATGGCAGGCCCTATTGCCCAATCAACGCCCGTGTTTTAATACCATCCCTCAGTCCATGTGCCTGCTGCGGTCATCTCGGCAGTGTGAAAGCGCTGATAAGAATGTGCTGCCTGCGAAGTCTAGTCCAATGTCCAACTGCTGCTGATCCTTTTACTGCTGCTGATCAATCCAGCGCTCGCTCGCTCCCGGCCTCCAGGACCGCGCGGTGCCCAGCCACCTTGGCCTGGGAGGACAGCACATCCAACTTCTGGGCGATGGTAATCCGCGGCACCGCCGTGACGTCCACCACCGTGATGCGGTACTGGTTTGCCTCACCGGACGAGGGACGAGGGACGAGGGCCACCACGAGGGACGAGGGAAACCTTTTGCTGTTTTTGATCGGTGCCGTGCATATGGGTCGTATACATCACATACTCTAAGGCTTAATCATTGCATAAAAGATCATACTGTCGCATACCTCCTGAAAGCACCTGTTGCACCGGAAATTTCCAGAAATCATTATCCAGAGTCAGCGGGTCTGTTGTAATCCCAAAGCGATTTTCACGGCGTCTGGTGCCTTCATGATCACATCCTTGCCCTTGTCCTGCAATCGGCCCACCCAGGAGATCAAGACCTGCAATGAAGACACTTCGCATCCATAGCGTCTACGGGACGACCACCACGCAGTGGTAGAGTCCGCGTGAAAGAGTGACCACTACGGGTGAAAATGGGTAAAATGTATGGCCCAAGTGTTTAGAAGTACTAAACTAACTGGATGTTGAGAAGTGCCTCTGCGAGTCAGAGTCTGATGAAAAGTGTCTGAGTGATCACCAATTGTCTGAGTCTGGTGGTCAGATAATCGGGAGAACTATGAAGAACTTGAGTTGGCAAGGGGGAGCACTATTACTACATAGTACTCATATCAAAGTATATACACTCCGACTCATTAACATGGAACCTCTGTAGCCTCTGTGTAAAGGAAGGTAGTCTTCCAAGCGGCCATGTTCCACTTCCGTGTTAGTGAGTCAGAGTGTTTTATAGCGCAAACGGTTGATGAATTTAACATCGCTACTAGGAGCAATCGGACCTGCTAGGGGCTCCTGGCCTTACCACTAGGAGCGATCGGACGCTACTAGGAGCTTTCAACGAGTGAGGTGGCTCCGTGCCTTGCAGTTCATCATCTGGAAGTCGGCCACAGGAGGCTCCAAGGAGAACAGCACCTCATCTTCGGTGTCATCGGAGAGAGCCGGGTTGAATCAGGCTGACTTTCACACGGTATCCTGCGGTATCCTGCGGTTCTTGAAAGGTGCCACTTGCTTTTGACAGAGTACTTCCCTACAAGAATCACTGTGAACATGGGATCCTGGGACTCTCTGTTGGTCGTAGCAAAAACGGAAGGTCTTCGTACACGTACACTTGGATGTTCGGCCGACTCTTTCAGAGGCTCCGATTATGAATGGGAAAGAAAAACATCTATCGCTGTGAGGTATTGACCATAACCTTGCTGATATATTCTGTGTAATTATGTGTATATTAAGTATATCATCTGCATGCATCAGGCAATTCGAAGCAAGGCCGCTAAGGTTTGGCCGCTGATACTCCATCACTCCGGTAAGGTCCGGGGACCCCCCCGATCCCATCGATCCTGCCGACGGCAGCATGTCTTGGGAGGTAACGTACTCCACTAGGTTTCCACCAAATACAGGATTGGGACTACCATGGAGTCAGAACTTAAAGTCATGTGTTTGCTCTGGAGCCGAACTCGAAGCCCTTGAACTAAGTTAGCACTGTATCGATTCTGCCTCTCATGGCCAGTCACCAATCCACTCCCGATGTTTCCGTCCTGCCCACGCCTGCCTCACTCTTGTCAATGACCTCGCCACGGCTCAAGACGCTGCAGCCTTTGGCCGTGAAGGCCTCGCAAGATGGATGACAAATGACTGTCAAGAGGGGTTGGCAAGCGAGTACCGTGAACAGAAGTGGCCCGTGCTAATGGTTTGTGAAAACATGGGTTAAGGGTGGTTAAGGTATGTTAAGGTGTCAGTATCGAGCTAATGATTACATCGAGTTCACCTCGGATCCCATATACCAGGTCACCGGCTCGTAATTTGATCAAATGCTTGTCGCGTGATAAAATTCGCGGTCGGCTCACCCTGAGTAATCCTGAGTAATCGATGAAATAGCAGTTTGCAACAGTCAGTCAGTGCCGGCCCTGAAGAGTTAGTGTCTGCTCTCACAGAGTCGACCGCTTTTGTTTAGAAAAAAGATTGGTTGGTCTACAGTGAGGTCATGGTAGTCATCACTGGTCATCACTGGTTGGTAGGTCCTCTGAAATCTCGTGAATGATTCGCAAGATCGAAGCCCTCAGTGCCACTTCGCAGCTCCACCATGGAACTCTCCCTGCAAAGAAACACTGCCAACAATGCCGTTGCACTGGAAACGGTGTACTGGTAACAAGGACGCTACGAACGGAGCTCCTGGCCTTACTACTAGGAGCAATGTTCGCCACTAGGAACAAGGGGCATCGCTACGAACGGAGCAAATAAGCTAACTCCCTGTACTTCTCAATGATGTTCGCTCGTGACCCTCACACCGACGTCGAACGCAGATGTCGAACGCCTCGTCTGAGTAGCCTGCAAAGATCCCTGCGCCTCAGGAGATCACAGGAGTGTTTGCAGTCAGGGTTAGAAGCTAACTCACCCCATACGCTGCAAGTTTCATCCAAGGGAAGAGGCTGAGAGTTGGCAGCATTCTTACGCTGAACCTTGCAAAACCACTCAACTGAACCTCAGCTACACTGACACAAACGTCTACAGTCATGACCGAAGCCACCTAGCATTTTGCAGGAACATCATGTTCCCACTCGCGCAGTGAGTTCTTTCTTGGTTTGAGACTCGACACTCACTGATTCCTTTCTTCCCCACTCAGATGCGCCTGTTAAAGGCAGTCCCTCCCAGTTTCCTCCAGATTCCTCCAGAGTCCGGATCGCTCCAAAACTGACAAAAAGATTCCAGAGAGAAAGGGCCTGCTGTCCGACAAAGCTAGGCTTCATCCAACAAAGCATCCGCCCCGACACGTCCGATGTCCGACAACGGTCGCTTCCGATGGTGGCCTCGCTCCACATAGACGGCATAGCCGTCCTCAAACGATGGAGCATCTTCGCAAAAGGGAGAGAACTTGCCTCAGGGATCTGATTGTCTCTACCTTTCTTCATGATCTTTGAAGGGGCTGTAGTGGAAGTCCTGAGGTGGCATCGTCTCCGGGCACTTTGGTAACTTGTAGTTCAAGAGAAGAGTCCGTTGACTCCAGTAATTGTCGAGGTGGCGACCATGACTTTGTTTTGCCAAGGTCTAGCATCTAGTTTGCGGTTAAACTACAGTGACCCTATCTAATTCCTGAGGTTTGAAGTCAAGCAAACCGCTGACCCTAATCACACCTGGCCCCCATGCAGTCCTTTTCTCTCTCCGTGACCTTAATTGATGGAGTAAGGATTCCGGTCCGTCCTTGATCAAGGATTCCGCGACGTCTGGCACCATGCTGACTCGCTGGTCTCCTGGAGCCCAGTGAGTCGTGACGAGGCGGGGCGAACCCCTGGACATCCGGCACCAGGGTTGGCACATCCATGTTTGGAGGGTCCATGTTCTCAGCTGTACCCATTTTCCTCCACAAACAGGTGGATTTCCCATGTTTTCCACGTCCATTCTTCTTTCAGTGTACATGAATAGGTTCACTCACTTTCATGAGCGAGCGACTACCCGCCGCCCCGCTGCAGCTTGACGACGACTGCCGGCCTTTGCTAATCTTGGCATCTGGACTGTAGCCCTCGCTGAGCACGCCCAGCTTGCAACCAGGAGTGCTGGGCGCTTCCACCTGCCAGAGTCTCCCTCTCGCTGCTGAGGAGAGGGAGTGAGGTCCCAAACTCTACAACAAAAGGCAAACATATTGGATCCAAAGCGTCCACAGTCCACATTTGCAGGACCAACTTCAGATGAACATCTCCTACAACTCACTCCCTCAAAGCCCAAAGCTTTGAAAGGGCCTCTGGGCCCACAAAGGGCTCTCGGTGGAGGAGCACCGCCACGTCAGTCCGTCTCCCCTTCCCACCTTGTCAGCCTTCAGAAGTGGTGTAGCTGACGCCATCCCTGCGCCTGCAGATTCGGCACCAGGGACGCGAATCAAACGATCACATCTGGGTGATTACACACTCTGACCTGTAAACTTCAGCCAGGGAAAGAATCCAGGCAAAACTTGAGAACCCCATACTGGGAAATAATTCCCTCATTACTGACATCCATACCAACCAATTAATCAAGGGTCAACAGTACCTAACAGTACCCACACACATGTTTTAGCTGAAGAATCCCGGATAGCTCCTGCATAGGTCCCTGGAACTTGGGGCCGATCCCAACACGACGCCCAGAAACACGACTGCATTGAAAGGGTCGGGAATGTCTAAACAATCAGGGCCCTAACTTAGGCCCCCTATAGGGATAGAATCCCAACTACCAGTGGATCTACAAAGTGACTCTTTCCTGCCACAGGTTCTGATCGTTTGCCAGGGCATCATGTCTGACATTGAGAAAACTACCTTCCCACCACCTCCCATGGACTTGCCTGCTTGCAGTGGTTCTGGGCAAAACGAACCGGCGGGATGCTGAACCAATCGAGCCGAAAATAGGCTTTGAAAGAAAGGTTCTTTCCGTGTGACAATTTTGTGCGTGCACCTCAAGCTTGAAGTTTGCAAGAGAAAACAAGCAAACGACCGTTGGAACACCCATTGTCAGCTTCAGCATTGCACAAACCATTGGCAGTGCATCCCTTTTTGAACCCTCCCCATGGAACAAAATATAGACATGAAATCCCATGAGTTGCACATCTGCGCGCCACCTCCACTTCCGAACGTCCAGCCACGCCGGTCGCACCGGGGCCGCGTCGGACCCCGGCGCCGACGGCGCCGACGGGACCGGCGCGTGCATGGCGCGAAGCCGAGCTGGGCAGAGTGCAAGCAATTGGCAAGTGACCTTGACAGATGACCGTTACTGAATGAAAAATCAAGCACTCAGGATAGTTTTGAGATGCTTTAAGATCTTTAAGAGTCAACAGTACGGGTGGGTAAAAAGATATTATATAGGGGAGAGAGAGAGAGAGACATGCAAGATAATTATCCCTTTGTGATCCTTTGTGGGGGAGGAAGTTGGACTGATGACCAACATCTTAGAATGGTTCTTGAATGGTTCTTGAGTACACAACTGGTGACCGGTGGACTCCAATAAAATTGCTACTTGGGACTTTGTGTTTGCTTATGAGCCGAGTTTGCTTGATGTTGCTTGAACTAGTTATCCGAAACGACAAATTATTCTGAGCCAAAGCACATCACTGCCACGAGTCGGCGACGAGAAAGACCATCACGCTTCCTACAAGTACTGCACCGCTGCCGCTCGTAGACACGCACGACGAAGACGCGACCGAAGCGACCGACGGACATGTCCGATGCGTCCGCAGCCATTTTCTCCGCGTCCATCGCAGACTACGACGACTGCAGACCCTCGACGACCGGGAGATCCGAGCCTCCCGGGTCTGCCAAGGAAAGGACGGAGCCCCTCCTGGACGGAGCGAGGGCTTGGTGGACCAAAAACCCTAGGGTCGGTCTTTCTTCGCAGCAGCTGTTGGCACCTTTTTGGGGCAATAGATTGTAAAATGGATGCAGTACTTCTTGCTCTGAACACTTAAAAAAGCCTACTTACAAAAAAAAAAATATATATATATTATCAAAATATTACATATATATAGTCGAAATGTTCAGTCCAAGTTCCCCACAACCAGTATTTGCCGTTGCTCTGCAATTACCATAATACAGCGAACAAGCTGGAGTCTGCTCCATGTCATAGAGAACAAATGTTCAATATGGGTGAATAGGCCAGGGAAGGCAGGGCAATGACAAATCTTTACTACTAGTAGCAAGGAGGCTACTAGGAACAAGGTGCATCGCTTACTACTAGTAGCAAATAGAGTAGCAAATAGCTACTAGTAGCTTCTTGTTACAAGTAGCGATGCACTTGCTGCTAGCTGCTAGTAGCACTGGGATGGTTTTGCTGCAGCTCATGGCACCAGGAGACCAACCAGCCAGGACCTATTTGGTTACCAGCTCGTGCGCTACAAATGGACTGCTCAGGCTCATTCGGTTTTGACTGGTTGCCCCGTGTGTGTGTGTGTGTGTGTGTGTGTGCGTGTGTCACTTTAATACAAGCTTTACGATGTCTTTAGACTTGTGTCTCTTTATACTATCCCCTTTTGTCTCTCCGCTTGAGCTGCTGGGTCCTTTTGGAGTCCTTTTTTGAGTCTCTGATCCCATTTTAAAGATGATGTTCCCAAAGAAAACCGGTCACTGGCACATGATAACAGTCATGAGAAAGGGGGAACCCTTCGCATCGTCCGTATTTCAATCTCCTTCAAAAGTCCTGCAGAAATTGCTCTGTCTTGTCTTTGCTTGTCTTCAACTCCATGAACGACTCGCAATGGCATCATGTAACCGTTGCAAAGCCTTTGCGACCGGGAAAACTTCAAAGCATGCGATCGCATGCAATTTCACGAACAATCTCTTGCTTCGTACCATGCACCGTGCCTTGGCGTTGGTCTCTTCGTTGAAGTCGTCGTTCATGTCATCGGAGTCCCGTCGATCTTCAGTCTTTGACTTTCTCAAGGTTGCTAGCCTCCCCCGGTGGAATCGGAACAAAGTGTCTAAGACATTGGAGAAGGTTCTAACATCTGGCGTGGGATCAAACTCTCTGAAAACCAGGTACTCAGCTATCTATCTCAGAGCACCTTGAAGCGATACTTCTTGCACCACTTCCATGACGCTTGTAAATATATTTATAACATCACAAATACAAAATATATATATATATGTGTGTGTTATATGATTGATAGACATACACTTCTCTTCAAATCTCTTCACGCACAGTGCTCCGGGCCATCACTGGCTAGGTCCATATCACCAAAGACTTCTCTCATCTTCTCTCCATATCACCTATCCATATCACGAAACGCAGACCTCTCAGAAAACCTTGCCTTGAAAAGCATGTCTTTCTCCTCCACCCGCAACACCCAGCGCTGCTTGGCATTCACGAAGCGCTGGAGCTGTCCCACCTGGAAAAAACCACCACAGCTTTCGCCGCGTGAGAACTTCTCCGCCCCGATGCGAAAGGTGGGGGTGTTTTTGGTGATGTTTCAGGGTGTTGGAACCTTGGCAGTAGACTTGCAATTGGAGCACGTGACAGTCAGGTGGCATGATTCGTCCAAATCTTCTGTAACCATTTGGCACAACGAGAACAGGGGCTGTTTGCTGCTTCTTCCGTCTCTTCGGTGGTAGGGGCGGTGGTAGGGGCGCACCGACTCTTAGGCCCTTTGTCGCCAGAAAGGATCCACCGAAGAAGATAGTGGAGGAAGTCCCAATCGGCTTTCCCATCCGTTGTACCACGCCCACACCATCCATGTTCATTCTCAGACTATTAATATCTTGGTGTCATTTGGTATCATTGTTCATAGATCAATTGCATTTTTCATATTTGCTCATCAAATGTTCAAGATGCAAAAGTCAAGACACCAAAGACTTTTCCCCGGGAAGTTGCGATTTTGATGTCACTCAGCAGTGCCTGCAGAGACCCACAAAAAGTCGTTGGATTCGAGCCGAAACCTTTAAACACCAAAACCATGTAACCATCTGGAACCTAAAAATACCTAAATATAGATTGTAGAAAATATCCTAAAATGTTCTGAAACCGAAACTCTATCTAAGAAGTGGATTGCCAACCTCCAAAAAAAAAAGGACCTGAATTACCCATAAAGTGCCACATCTTTCACCCATCTGAACTGCGGCGGGCGCCTTTCCATTGAGCTGCGGCAGCTTCTCAAGGCCAAACACACGGACCTGGCGTCCACAGGAAAGATTCATCAATCAGCCTCTTCATCCTGAGCCTTCAATCCCCTAGTCGTCCCTCTGCCCCTTTTCCTGTGTGTGTTGGTGATTTTTCAATCGTCACGCACCGATTTGGTTTTAAACTGCGCCATGGGCCATGGGGTCGCCCTTTGGTTTCTACTGTTTCAAGTAAGGTCGTCACGTTTTGCCCTGAAAAAACACGGTTTCCCTGATTTGAGGGAACGACTGCAACCGCGTCTGACAATTCCAACATCATGGAACATCCATATTGGCGTGCATCAAAATAAGGACACCTCCCAGTTCGACCGCTGGAAGAAGGAAAAGAGACCAGTCTACCAGTTTGTGGTGGTCCTCTTTTAAATACCCATCCTTATGGGGGTGTAACCTTTGGCAAAATAGAAACAGACTGGTGGGTCCCCTTGTTATCCTTTTTCAAAAAACACATCCACAACCGTCACCTCCGGTCCTTTCGTTAGGCTTTAGGCACCGAAGACCTCCTCCGGTCCCACCTCATCACCCGGTCGGAGCATCTGTCGGCCAGCAGCAGGGCAGACCTGGATTCTGGATTCGGTCGCGACGGAGTAAAGGACGGAGGAAGCCTTTTCGGAAATAGAACATCGCACGGACAATTACAATGAACGAGTCCGTTGATCACCTGTCAACAAACTTTACCTTGTCCCTCGTCTTGCAATTCGCAAAATATTGCCTCGCCCCGTTACATTCCCAGCGACAAAACTCTGGAGGTGTGCAGGAGAGGTCGGGTGATTGACAATCTGGACTTAACTCAAAAATGAAATGACGGCACGGGTTAAACAGAGAAGTGAGTGACGATCCAGACATATAATTGACGGGCCGGGCTAAAATAAAAAGTGAAGTGACGGCCTGGGCTTAACTCAGAAATAACGGGCCGGGCTGAACAGAGACAGGCAAAGCACAGCAACACATCTGCCTCGAGGACCGTGCACATCACGCGCTGTAAATGTCCTTTGCGATATACCAAGAATGGTGTCAACTCAAAGATCAACACCATCCAGCGCCGCCCAGCACCCCATTGATTCTGGGTGATATGCATCGGCATAAGCTCAATACCATAAGCCCACACATGCACATCATCCACAATCCACTCCACCTTCTCAAGGGTTTGCTTTCGCTCTCGCTCAGCTAGCTGCCTCAACCAACATTCAGATACCGGCGCTGCATATTACAAGCGTCATACCAATCGGACTCCAAGGAGATCGATGTCGTCACGCCGCAGCGCCACCAAGACAAGAACGAACAAATCAAAACATAGTACGCAAATACAATCCAAAGGATGGAGATTTTTCCGGCTGTTTTTTCGTTTTTTCTGGGAATTGTTTTCGCGTTTTTTCTGGGAGTGCTTTACAAGCATCAGGAGCAGCAGAAAGGTCAGAGGACGAAGCAGCAGAGCCAGCGGGGGGGAGAGAGAGAGAGAGAGAGAGACAATGACAAAGGGAGGGAGCAGAAAAGGCACCCACTTAACGAAGGGGAAGTAGGAGTGAGGAAAGAGGAGAGAGGAACTATAATAGAGACTTCTTTGCGGTCGTCTTTGGGTTTCAGAGGTTTCGGGTTTCTTTGGGTTCGGTTTCTTGTCTTTAGGGTTTCTTTGGGCACTTCTGTTAAGCTAAGCAATCTTCGGCTTTTCATATATTATACATAATATATATATATATATATACGATAACTATTATATGTACCGCGAAGAGAAAGCAAGAGAGAGAGAGAAAGAGAAAGAGAAAGAGGGTGGTCGGAGTGTTGGAGGCACTGGTAATAGCAAGGGTAGTGGCAACCATTTAAAGCGGGAGGGGCGCGGGGAGGGCGCGGCGCCTCCCCCGCAATGCAAAACAAGTATAGACAGCGCTACCAGCGGACCAAAGGACCATAGGTCAGGATTAATTCTTTTGCTTTTGTTCTTTTTTATTGATCATCGTCTCTTTTCTTGTTGCTACTGGCTACTGTTTTCTGATCCTAATGATCTCCTGATGCCCTAAATATTACCCTCGGGTGGCTCACAAAAGGCAAGCACCGTTGGCATAGCACCTTCCGCCCCTAAATTATATTCCCGGGTGGTTCAGAAAAGGTATGAGCCGTTGGACTGGCACCTTCCTGCTCTAAATTCCCGGGTGGCTCGCAAAAGGTATGCACCGTTAGAATGGCACCTTCCTCCTCGTCTAAGCTTTACCTTCGGGCGTCTGCCGTTTGACTGGCACGTTCCTCCTCTAAATTTGACCCTCGAGTAGCCCACAACAGGTCACAAAGGGAATGCACTGGCACAGGCTCTTTACTGCAAGCAGAGCAGTAAACAAAGCTGGCCAATTGCAGCGCTTCAAGCTGGCTTTTTGATGCTTTTTGCAATTGCAAAAGCAGAAACAAGAGCAAGTGCAAAAGCACTTGCTAAAACCGACGCCGAAGCAGGAGCAAGGGCAAGAGCGGAAGCAAAAGCAGAACGCAAAAGCAGAAGCAGACACAGAAGCGAAAGCAAAAAGCAAAACCAAAAAGCAAAAGCAGAAGCAAACAGCAAAAGCAAAAGCAGAAGCAAAAGCTAAAAGCAAAAAGCAGAAGCAAAAGCAAGAAGCAAAGCAGACGCAAAAAGCAAAAGCAGAAGCAAAAAGCAAAAGCAGAACCAAAAAGCAAAAGCAAAAGCAGAAGCAGAAAAAAACAGCAAAAAAAATAAACGTAAAAAACTAAAAATCCCAGAGAAATACCGGCTCCAATCCAAACCATGCAGAAGGCAAGCTTGTCCATAGAGCGCGTATTCCAAGCATCACCGCCTCACAACTGACAGATTACACCATTATAACGCCAGCAAATACAACAGTAGCTAAGACGTCCCTTTTTTTGACAACCCTTTGTCACACCAGCGATGGCTGGTCAGTTGCGTGGTGGAAGCAGCACAAACGTTAGCTCCGGACCAGGTATCTACACTGCCAAATCGAAGCCCAGTAAAGAGCCAAATCGAAGCCCGGTAAAGAGCATCATTGAAATACACAGAGAGCACCTGTAGATAGAATCCTGCTCATACAAAAGGAATTATGCAAAACGGCTGCAATGGTATCCAGACAACCTTCCGCTTAAGCACCTGCGCAACAAAGTCAACATCCCTCACAAAATATGTGAACCACAGACAAAGTCAGTTAAGAGGGTTTCCGGACCACATCCGGACGAGGTACCTCACAGTTCATGACAAGCGCACGGGATTCTTACTCTCGGCCGTAGTAGTAGCGGCATTAGAAGTACTAGTGCTAGTGCTAGTGCTACTGTTGGTAGTAGTAGTAGTAGTAGTAGTAGTAGTAGTAGTAGTAGTAGTAGT